ATACACCGGTGGGTCCTTCTGGCAGTAGGCTCTATGACTGCACACCTGCTCTGCACTCACTTTGCTCAAGGGACATTGTAGGGGAGAATCAGCTGCGTTTGATTCTAAGCTGGAGGCACTTTCTGACAGAACTTTTCACGAGAGAAAACAGGACAGAAGAAGCAGGGAGAAAACTTAATTCAAACTGAAAATTGGAATCTGAACAACTTAAAATACAAGCGTACAGTTCTAGTGAGATCAGAGACTTCCTTTAGGTAGGTAGGAATGTGGATTTCTGAAAATTACTTTAAAGCAATCACAGTTAGGGCAGTGGCACTTACCTGAAGTATCTGGAGGGGAAGACATTTCTGAATTAATATCTGAATTTGTAAAAACCTATATATATTTTTACCCACTTCTCTGGACACTATGGTACTCATGCTACCCAATAAGATGTCATTACCACCTATACCAAGTGGTCCTTCCACTGTAATTTTACTATTTGCCTCAGCGTTAGACAGGGAAAGAATTATACAACAAGCAAGGGATTATTTTATATACACTATTGATTGTGGGATCCATATTTTTCCTGATCTTTCCAAGGCCACTTTGGCTAGAGAAGGACATTAATAACACTTAGGACAGAGTTTATTGCATTAGGTTATTCTGTGTCCCTTTTATATCCTACAAATCTAGGCTGTCCGAGGACAATAAAAATATTTATCTTTTGATTAGAGTGACTGCAAGGAATGTCTTGTCTCTCAAAAGAGCAATAAAGAGGCTGTTTGTGAGGTCTTAAAAGTGTCTCTGAATTAGATTTAAAATTCTATATTGCAGTGGTTAAGTTCTGTGGATAACATGCTTACTCTTTTTGATCCCTTGTACTGTTGACTTTAGTGTTTTTACATCCCTTATGTTTAAAATGTGATTAATCATTAAGAAGGTTGGGTTTAATTTTCCCATCCTCCTTTGATATCTTTCTTCGCCAAGATATTTAATGGCCTGTAATATTACTGTACTTTGTGTTAGAGTCTTCTTATTATAACTTCTGAAATCATAAATATTTTTAAAGCTTTGTAACTTAGTTCTATGAAACTTTAAACAAAGCTTGTTCTGTTATTTTCCTGCATACACACTATTTAATACTTATCTGTAAAAAAGGGCAACACCTGCATTGAGTAATGTTTGCAGTCCAATATTTTGTAGAAAAACTGACTTTTTATAAATTAGTTCTAAGATCACAGAAATACAGGGGGGAAATGTCATTTTCCCCATGTGTCATTTTAATCATGGCTGGAGGAACTATTTGTTTTAAATGCACATGTTTGCTCTAATGTGATAAGGAATACATAATATTGGAGAAAAACCTATTTACTGTGTTATGATCTAACGCCCATTGACTGAAGTCAATAAAGTCACTTACTGACCTCAGTGGGCTTTGGATCAAGTCATAAGTCAGGAATCAGCCTTCTACTGGAAGGCATCTCACATCCATTACACACAGTAGTTAAAACCAGTTTTTAATATACCTGCATGTTAACAGATCATGGAGCAAATGTTGTAACAATAACAAAAAGTTCATATCCTCAGTTCAGTGTTATAACTCTGTCTGGGGGCTTCTGAAAATATTTGTTTTTTGCAGCAATTTCCATTAAATAGCAAATCCTTATGACTTCATTGTGGTATTGACGAAAATAGCATTTATAGCGGTCCAGGGCTGTATATTCATATGGAAGTTACACCTATTTCTAGGAATTCTGATAAACACAAATTGAAGCATCACACAGGATGCCGCAGCAGGGGACAGGTGAAACAGTGCACTCTTTTGCTGGACCTTTACTTCTTAAACCAACCATTATTTTGTTTATTTAACGTACTTTAAAAGCAACAGAACTGTAAGAAGTCTCATCTCAGTGAGATCAATGCACTTTTGGCCTTAGGTTATAGTTGATACCATCTTCCCTGTAGCTTAAAGATACTTCAGGTCTTGTGAACCTAGGTGTGAATTCCCAGCCCACATATTGCACTGAATCCTCGGACCCGTCCTGCCATAAAGTGATTGGGCAAGTTTCAGTCCCCTCCAGAACACACCGGCATGCCATTCACAAGCAGCGGGGGAAATGTCCCCTAAGTGGACAGGTGCATTAGGACCATGGGAACAGAGCTGTGCAGAAGAGGCTGTTTTAGTGTTAGGTGAAATGCACTGAGATGTTCCTGCAACCTATGCTCAAGATTGGACTTAGATAACAAGATCACCAACACGTTAAATGAAACCATGGGGTGGTGGGCGGGATGTTAATCAAATGGGCAGGTGATCTGCACTGCCTGTGCTGAGTGTATCTATATTGAATCTCCAAAAGGGGCAGCATGTTAACCTGCTTTCAACTCCAGGAAAGTTCTTGTGGACCATCTCCAAAGCCCCCTGCACTGTAATCTTCCTGTCAAAAGCAACTGCTCACTTACTCTCCTTAAGGGGAGGTGGGGGACTGCCCACACCCTCATCAAGCCTCTACCTGATGTTGTCTAAGGGGAAAAACAATAGAAGACAATTGGCAGTTTTTCAGAGAGACATTATTAAGGGCACAAGAAGAAACTATCCCACTGTGTAGGAAAGATAGGAAGTAGGGCAAGAGATGACCCTGGCTTAACCAGGAGATCTTCAATGATCTGAAACTCAAAAAAGAGTCCTACAAAAAGTGGAAACTAGGTCAAATTTACAAGGGATGAATATAAACAAATAACGTAAGTATGTAGGGACAAAATTAGAAAGGCCAAGGCACAAAACGAGATCAAACTAGCTAGAGACATAACGGGTAACAAGAAAACATTCTACAAATACAGCAGAAGCAAGAGGAAGACCAAGGACAGGGTAGGCCCGTTACTCAATGAGGGGGGGAAATAATAACACAAAATATGGAAATGGCAGAGGTGCTCAATGACTTCTTTGTTTTGGTTTTCACAAGAAGGTTGGTGGTGATTGGACGTCTAACGTAGTGAATGCCAGTGAAAATGAGGTAGGATCAGAAGAGTCTAAAATAAGGAAAGAACAAGTTAAAAATTACTTGGACAAATTAGATGTCTTCAGGTCACCAGGGCCTGATGAAATGCATTGTAGAATACTCAAGGAGATGATTGAGGAGATATCTGAGCCATTAGCAATTATCTTTGAGTGGTCATGCAAGACTGGAGACATTCCAGAAGATTGGAAAAGGGCAAATATAGTGCCCATCTATAAAAAGGGAAATAAGGACAACCCAGGGAATTACAGACCAGTCAGCTTAACTTCTGTACCCAGAAAGATAATGGAGCAAATAATTAAGCAATCGATTTGCAAACATCTAGAAGATAATAGGGTGATAAGTAACAGTCAGCATGGATTTGTCAAGAACAAATCCTGTCAAACCAACCTGATAGCTTTCTTTGCCAGGGTAACAAGCCTTGTGGAGGGGGGGGGGAAGCGGTAGATGTGGTATATCTTGACTTTACTAGAGCTTTTGATACTGTCTCACATGACCTTCTCATAAACAAACTGGGGAAATGCAACCTAGATGGAGCTACTATAAGGTGGGTGCAAAACTGGTTGGAAAATCGTTCCCAGCGAGTAGTTATCAGTGGTTCACAGTCATGCTGGAAGGACATAACAAGTGGGGTCCCGCAGGGATCGGTTCTGGGTCCAGTTCTGTTCAATATCTTCATCAATGATTTAGATAATGGCATACAGAGTACACTTATAAAGTTTGCGGATGATACCAAGCTGGGAGGGGTTGCAAGTGCTTTGGAGGATAGGATTAAAATTCAAAATGATCTGGACAAACTGGAGAAATGGTCTGAAGTAAATAGGATGAAATTCAATAAGGACAAATGCAAAGTACTCCACTTAGGAAGGAATAATCAGTTGCATGCATACAAAATGGGAAATGACTGCCTAAGAAGGAGTACTGTGGAAAGGGATCTGGGGTCATAGTGGACCACAAGCTAAATATGAGTCAACAGTGTAACGCTGTTGCAAAAAAAGCGAACATCATTCTGGGATGTATTAGCGGGAGTGTTGTAAGCAAGACACAAGAAGTAATTCTTCCACTCTACTCCACGCTGACTAGGCCTCAGCTGGAGTATTGTGTCCAGTTCTGGGCACCACATTTCAGGAAGGACGTGGACAAATTAGAGAGAGTCCAGAGAAGAGCAACAACAATGATTAAAGGTCTAGAAAACATGACCTATGAGGGAAGATTGAAAAAATTGGGTTTGTTTAGTCTGGAGACGAGAAGACTGAGAGGTGACATGATAACAGTTTTCAAGTATGTAGAAGGTTGTTACAAGGAGGAGGAAGAAAAATTGTTTTTTCTTAACCTCTGAGGATAGGACAAGAAGCAATGGGCTTAAATTGCAGCAAGGGAGGTTTAGGTTGGACATTAGGAAAAACTTCCTAACTGTCAGGGTGGTTAAGCACTGGAATAAATTGCCTAGGGAGGTGGTGGAATTTCCATCATTGGAGATTTTTAAGAGCAGGTTAGACAAACACCTGTCAGGGATGGTCTAGATAATACTTAGTCCTGCCACCAGTGCAGGGGACTGGATTAGATGACCTCTCGAGATCCCTTCCAGTCCTATGATTCTATGATTATCTGCATCCTTGCCACTCACAGGCCGTGTGTGTGTATTGAAGAGGGGGTGCAAGGAGATGGGAACTCAAATCCTCAGTGGACTGGCCAGGTTAAATTTTAACATATAGGGAAGATGAAAAGAAAAAAAGCGAAAGTCTAGAAATTCTCTCAAAAGAGAAAAACAACAGCGTTTGCATGACTCCATCCTACACGGCAGGGTCAGTGTGGGGCAGGTGGAGAAACAGGTCTGAGGGGAGGAGATAGTGCATTTCTGTGGGTAGCTTGGCTTTGTGTGTATAAAATACCTGCTCTGTGTTTGCAGCATGCATAGGTGTGTGTGC